ATGGAAGGGGTCCAACAGGTCCGCCGCGCTATCACAGTCGGAATGGCTGGGAAAGAGAGCAGGAACTGACTCTCACAGCAGGGCAGACGCAACAGCTGACCCTCCAGCTGGCCCATTTGAGCCTACGTCTGGAAGACGAGCTGGCGAGAATGAGGTCGGAAAGCGCGATTGTCCTACACACGCAAACCAGTCAGGGCACAGTGGTGCCACAGCTCCTGGAAGCCTCCAAGAAGTGGCAGGACACCAAGTCCAACAATCCGGATCAGCTGACCATGCCTCTCCGGACGAGCCTGGTGCTTGGCATGCTGGGCGAAATGCAGCATCGTCTGACCAAGCTAGTGCAAACAGAGGAAGCAAGGCAGAAGGCGCTGAAGCTCGAGTGGTGTCAGGAGCAACCCGAGAACCTCCTTTGGAACTACACGTGGTGGGACGAGAAGTCCAGCTGTCTCAAGCCGTTGGCCAAGCCAGGACTGACGCAACAGCAAGTTCTACAGACACTGGCGGGACTGGTGCAGCTTATCCAGGCTCAACCAGAATGCATACTCCGCTTCCACGCAACCCGCAAGTTCGACAAGGCGCCGCAACGAAAGGTGGTGACCTTCATGCTGACCGTGGGATACAGAGGAGCGGCGTGCGACAGCATATACACGGAGATGGAGAAGCTGTGCGGTCTGGCGGCCATGATGGTGGGGGGCATCCGAGTCAAAAAGGAACGCCAACAAAGGCAACCAGCAGCGCAGCGAGTCGAGAAGTTCATCAGGTGACTGAGAAAGAGGCCCGCCTCGTTCTCTCCAACACAAGCAATCACTGTTACATCAATTCCGTTGCCTTAGCGTTCACGCACCTGCACAGATTCCTCCCTCTCACTAATCTTCCACACGCCTGGTTAACTGCGCTGCAGGTGATGAGACCAGGGCCCTTAGGCCGACGACCAAAGAAGGTCGCGCTACGCTCCACCATGCCATGGCAAGTCTTGATGAGGCAGTGGAAGCAGCCCGATCAGCAGCATGATGCGCTTGAGCTCATCACTCATCTCATTCGACTGCACTCGATACAGGCGTACCTTGGGGAATGGGAAGCCCGTGAGGAAGGGGAGGCTGGTCAAGTCACCCTTGAAGCAAATTGTAACACTTTCTCTCTACCTCTCTGCATTCCAAACCTAAGGGGTGAAGTGCGCTTGCAGGACTGCGTGGAGCAATGGGCTTTTGGTGAGAGGGGACTGCAGGCACTAACCACAGTGCCAGACATAGTAGGGTTTCAATTGGGGAGATATGTGCTGACGCCGGAGGGGATAAGCAAAAATGTGCGTGCAATCTCCTTAGCTGAAGGCCAAGTACGTGTCCCCCACTTTCTGGGGAGGGATGCATCCTTTATGCAGACGGATACGATTCCGTATCTCAGTCATCATTCACCCCCACATTGAACTCAGGTCACTACCAGGCCATCCTTCGGGTGGGCGACCTATGGATATGGACTGATGACAACCAACTTCCTAAGCAGGCAACAGAGGCGCAGCTTCAAATCATGCAGACGTGCTGTTACTTTGTCCTGTGTCAACGCGCAGGCGCTGTGACCGTTCACTGAATTTCAGGGTAAGCGGTCACCGCACCCGAAACAGCCATCCGTAGCTTGTATCAGGAGTAGGTTGTAATCAATGTCTCACAGATCAGCATTCAAGTTTCCGCACTGTGGCTTGGGCACATATGCCGCACAGTGAAGTGGTTGTGTTTCTCGCAACCGGGCCCTCGGGCCGAGTGAGAGCACTGAGGGTCATAGATCGCGTGTGCACAGTCACATGCCGGAGCCCAACACGGCTCTGCTCGACAGCCCTAACACAGGCTGTGGGAGAAGAAGAGGGTGGCCTTGGTGGATACAGCTGCTACGCATCTTGCGCGAACGCCTTTTCCATGGGAATGTCTGCCGGATGCAAAGCGCGCTTGGTAGTGTGGCTATGAAGATTACAGAGAAAGGGACGTTGATTAGGGAGGACAATGGGCCCCTGATTATTCCCCTCTGGTTGATTTTGGAGATTGGGGCGAACCTCACTGTGGTCAATGATGACAAAGTGCCTGCGCGCAGACGGTCTCACACTAAGCAGTCGGGCTAATCTCACGACAGCTCTGGCTTCACCAAGCGTGATGTGATCCACTGTTTTCCAGCGTCCCCAAGCCATTGGAAGCCACCTAGCCTTTTCCTCGTCTTGGAATATCTCATTTGGTAGTAGTGAAAAAGGCTCGGAAGCTTTAATCGGCCGCTCGGGGAATTTCAAACCCGTGAAATCTCCAGAAAGTCGAGACACAGAACGGCCCTGCGATTCCCCGTATTCTAAAATTTGTTCGATTGCCGCCCTTGAAACATCACGAACTGTGATCCCATAACCGCCTGCATCAACTTCGCTGTGTCCCATTGCATCGGTAGCAAAAATTGTGGTAGCTAATGGCGCTCCGGCATCATAGAACAACCACGGTGCTGCGTAGCTCATTGCCAGAACTTCTCGCCTGGCACTGGGCCACCACCGGATAGTCTCATTTGGGTGGGCATCCAACAGCCGATAGACTGCATGTGGTACGCTCAACAAAAAGGTAATATAGAGGTCCCCGGGGCCGGTGTGTGGTCAGGAGGGGGCCAGAGGGGGCCAAAAGGGCAGCGGGTCAAGGGGGTGAAAGGGGTCAGGGGGGCGTCACGTGGGCCAGAGGAAGGCCACAAAGGCCAGGAGGGCCAAGGGGGTCCAGGGGGGTCAGGGGGTCCAAGGGGGTAAAACTGACTTTTGAGCACCCACCCTGCCTGGCCTGAGGCCCCCTGGTCCTTGGGCACGCTGCGGTGGGGGGTCCTAGGCTGGCCCTGGAAAGGACAGGGGCCCTCAGGTTTAGGGTTACTTTATTAAAAGGGACCAGTACTGGTCCCGAGGAGAACGTGTTCCGGTACCGGGCCCATCATGGGTGCTACCGACCCCCATGCTGTGGGAGGCGGGCTCGCGATCTGGGTCGGCTTGTGCCATCGAGGTCAAAGGGCTTAAGCGCCGCCCCCCAACGTGGAGGGCGGCCTTGGCCCTGGGTTTAGGGTTTAGGGTTTAGGGTTTAGGGTTTAGGGTTTAGGGTTTTTAGGGTTTAGGGTTTAGGGTTTATAGGGTTTAGGGGCTTTTGGGTCAAAGGTCAAAAGTTTAGGGGCTCAGGTTGTCGGGTTGAGAGTTTGGGAATCTGGAGCTTAAGCTTTCGTTTGTTCTCTCTCTTCTTTTTGTTTGGGGGGGAGAGTAGAGGGTTTGGAACTGAAATTGAAACTAATTATGCGGTTGGGTGGGTGGTGGTTTTTGTCCATGGTGTGTGGCCCACTCGAAGAAGCCAAGCAGTTTCGCATGGAGAGCTTGGGTCAGTTCGGGGCTAGAAGTTAAGGTTTTGAGCTTAAGCTTGCGGGTCTCGGGGTTTAGAGTTCAGGTGGCCTAGGATTTCGGCTTGAGGCCCTAACTAAAGGCCCTGGATTTCTTGAAGAGGAAGTTGATGGAGGGACTGGTGGCCTTCTTTTCCACGCCCCACGTAATTTACACGGAAGCCCTTACTTCGAAAGCCCAATCATCTGCGAACAAAGCGCGTAACCTCGCAACTGAACCCCCTTAACCAGAAGCACCCCCCAAAAAAAAGCTCCGCAGCCCCCAAACCCCTAAGCCGCCAAACCTAAGGTGGTTAAATATTATGCCTCTAATGAACGTTAGAGGTTGAAACAGTGCCTCTGAAACGACTCTTATAAAGGAAGCTGCCTACATGAAACCGTCTCAGACAAAACCCCTCAACCCTTAAACCCCAGGCCCTCACCTGCGGAGGCCTTAATGGTCTATCAGCCTTCAAAGCCCCGAGTATAGCATACTATAGTATATTATATATAGTATACTTTAGTATACTATATTGTATCCTTGAAGAGCTTAAAGCTTAATTCAGGGGCTAACTCAGGGTCTAGGGGTTTTTTCTTCACCTTAAACCCTAAACCCTACACCCGGGATCCCCACGCCCTAAACCTTCTCCCCTTCTCCCCTCAACCCTACACCTTCACGTGAAAACTAGAGTAGACTTTACGATACTATGCTGTTCTATACTATACTCTACTAGACTATATTTGAGTATAGCATACTATACTTCACTGCACTTCACTTTACTACACTTCACTTCACTAAATCCATGGGGATGGGAGGCGGTGAGAGCAACTTTCAAATATGATATTAGTAAGGTGTTGCAAGGTGCTGCGGGGGATTTTGAAAGGGATCTGACACAATGCCTTGAAGCCAGAGGGTCTCTCCTTTTTTCACATTCGCGGTATTGTGCCCTCTGACTGGAAAATGTCTGAATGGAAAATGTCTGAATGCCCAGGCTGCGCGATATTGAAATCCCCGCAGCAAGTCCCAGCCTCTGACATCAAAACACTCGCCGAAATCATCCTAGAGGTAGTACAGCTGCTGCATGCACTGAAAACTTGCATATGGCAGCGAGGAACTGTACCGTTTGCGCCACTTTATTTCTTGCCCCACATGTTCTTGAGCTGGTTCATCCCATCTTTTCCTGCGGCGACCCCTGTGTTGACTCCGTCGACCATCGACTTCGCTCCCTTACCCACGGTCTCCTTCGTCTTATCGCTCGCGCCAAGCTGATCCGCAAGATTCACTGCGTTCTTCTGGAAAGCGGATATCTCCTCACCGGCGGATTTCTCCTCACCGGCACAGCACGAGTTGCCCATCTTCTACAAAGAGGCTAAGACGAGACTGGGGACCAGGAAGTTTGTAAGGCCGACATGCTGCGGAAACAACAACAACCACGACAACAAAATGGAGCATTCCTGTTTTGGATCGGTGACGCGAGTGAAGACTGTGGCCCTCCACTAATGAAATCCAGCCTCCGCGGCTGCGGAAGCGAGATTTCTTGGATTTCTGTTGGATATTCTGTTGGAGCTCACGAAATCTGCCGTTCGGAGAAGATCTTCAAGGTACCCACAGACCCTAAACCCTAAACCTCCAGGTCCTTCTGCGCCCCTGGCCCGAGCCAGGCCCAGCGCGAAGCTGAAATTCCCTGCGCCCAGTTCCAGGCACCTCACGGCGCGGCTTGAGTGGCTGGTTCGAGGATGTTTCAAACCTTGGGTTGAGCTCAGGGGGAGCTGAGGGTGTTTCAGGGGTTCAGGGTTTAGGGCTTAAATTTTGGGGTTTAGGGTTTAGGGTTAGGTAATTTGGGCTGGGGTGGAAGGTTGCGCGCACAAAGGCATACCAGGAACCCTCTCGAACGCGCGCCGTGCTGCCGAAGAATGCGCAAAAGAAAGAATTTTCCCGGAGCTTTCGCCAAAATGGCGCAACAGAGACATGTAAACAATCATGCATAAAAAGGCAGGTGGAGTTTAAACCCTAAACCCTAAATCCCCATGTCCGCGAGGCTCTGGAGAGGTGTCCGTGCTCCAAAAGCCCAGCAACCACACGACTCCAACCCCAACTTCAGTCCTCATCGCTCGCAACCCAAGTCCCTCAGCACTCACAAACCTTCCCCAGGGCTTGAAGTTTAGGGTTTCGGGTTTAGGGTGCTTCGAGGTTTAGGTCGACGGGTTCAGGGGTTTAGGGAGTTTGGGGCCTTATTTTTTGACCAGAACTTGGGCTGGGGTGTGGAGTCATATGTGGGTTTACGAAAAATAGTGGACCCCTAATATACACCCCAGAATAGTAGCATCCCCTTTAGAATAAGGACCCCGATAAGGCACCCCTTAATATCGTAAACCCCCATATGTCGGGCAGTGTAGACTGCCATCTTTGAAGTTTGGCTCTAGAGCCGAAGCCTAAACCCCTAAACACTGCCGTAACAACGTAACCCCGAACAGCCACAAAGCCTAAACCCTAAAAAAAACAAAGTTAGAGTTAACAGGGGTTTAGGGTTCAGGGTTTAGGGTTTTAACCACAGCACCTGCAGCCACGTGGGGCGGCGCCTGCTCAGCGTGCTTGCCATGTAGGGCTGAGGGTTTAGGGGTTTAGGGTCTCAAGTCCACGGTTTATAGGTGTTGGAGATCGCACAACATGAAACCTACTCCTGCATAAGGGGTGCGTGCGCGTGAACGTGGATGGAGCAGGGGTGTAAAGGAAGGAATTGTGCTGGGATTGCTTTTGTGATCCACACCGGAGCGGCGGGTCACTCGTGACATCTCCAAAGTGTCACTTGTGACTTTCATAGACACGGGTTGCCTACTGCTACATCTGTAAGAGACACGTTGCCTGTAAAATCTGCAACCTGTCGATTGTGACGTCTGCTGTTCCGAAATTGCATTTTCGCTCGAGGCCCGTGCCTAAAATCACTTGTGATATCTGCCTCGGCGGTCAGGGTGTTGAAAATGCTTCGAAATACTTGCCCTAAACCCTAAACCCTTGTGACATCTCCCTCTGCCATCGGGGGTTTTCGGGTTTTCAACTCCCAGTACTTCTGTTGGGGCTAAAGTTTGCCAACCAAGGCTTCTTAGGGCTTTTTCGGGTTTAGGGTTTAGGGTTTCGGGTTTCGAGTTTAGAATTTTCAGGGCTAGGTTGTTTTTTAAGGCTTTTGGGGCCTTTAGGGTTTAAAGCTTTTAGGGGTGAGGTCTTAGGATTTAGGTGCTAGGGGTTTCGTGAGCTCAGGATAGTGTAGGGCCTAAGCTTGTCAGGGCTCACGTGCTTCTTGAAGTTTAGCGTTAAAGGCCTTCGGGCCCTAACGAAAACACCCCGGATGGCCTTGAACCCTAAACCCGCTAAACCCCCTAAAACCCCCTCAAACCCCCTTAAACCCCTTTCAATCCCCCCTAAGCCCCCCCAGTTGGGTTTTGGGGTTTGTGGGGTTGAGTAGTTATGGGGGTTATAAGAGTTATCCGCCGACCCCAGCCCGGGGCGGCGTCAGTGAAGACCCACTGCTTCCGAGTACCGCCCTCACCCCCAGCCCCTCCCCCCCCCCCACCCAAGCCCTTCCCTTACCCTCTAGCACCCCATGCCTTCAGTGCTTCATCTACTGCGTTCCAGTGCATGCCCAACCCCCACGCCCCCCCCGCTTTCAGTGCTTCATCTACAGCGTTCCAGTGCATGCCCAACCCCCGCACCCCCATAGCGCTCCCTTCCCTACATCCCCCGCCCCGTACCTCCCCGCCGCTTCTCGAGAAGGTTAGGGTGTGGGGATCCCGAGTGTAGGGTTTACAAGGTGAAGAAAAAATCCTAGACCCCCTCCCCTGCCCCCCCTCCCCCCCCCCCCCCCCCCCCCCCCCCCCCCCCCCCTCCGCCCCCCCTCCTCAGCATGGCGCCTGCTCAGCGTGCTTGCCATGTACAGCTGAGGTTTAAAGGTTTAGGGTCTCAAGTCCACGGACAACGTGAAACCTACTCCTGCATAAGGGGTGCGTGCGTGTGAACGTGGATGGAGCAGGGGTGTAAAGGAAGGAATTGTGCTGGGATTGCTTCTGTGATCCACACCGGAGCGGCGGGTCACTCGTGACATCTCCAAAGTGTCACTTGTGACTTTCATAGACACGGGTTGCCTACTGCTACATCTGTAAGAGACACGTTGCCTGTAAAATCTGCAACCTGTCGCTTGTGACGTCTGCTGTTCCGAAATTGCATTTTCGCTCGAGGCCCGTGCCTAAAATCACTTGTGATATCTGCCTCTGTGGTCAGGGTGTTGAAAATGCTTCGAAATACTTGCCCTAAACCCTAGACCCTAAACCCTTGTGACATCTCCCTCTGGCATGGGGGGTTTTCGGGTTTTCAACTCCCAGTACTTCTGTTGGGGCTAAAGTTTGCCAACCAAGGCTTCTTAGGGCTTTTTCGGGTTTAGGGTTTCGGGTTTCGAGTTTAGAATTTTCAGGGCTAGGTTGTTTTTAAGGCTTTTGGGATCAATGAACCTGTTGAAGACCTGTACAGAGAATGGGTGAGAAAAGCAAGATGCGCACAAGCCTGTGGAGCCCCTGGAACGGAGACCGGCCGACAGTGAACGACTCCCAGAGAAGCGGCCGTCAACATCCGGTGCTTCCGAGACCACCAAATCAAAAAGTTTCAGCGCGGAACCACAGGACAGAACGCCATCCGCAGCAAGCAAATCCTGCGCAAGAAGCTTTGCACCAGTAGCACTGGACTGAGGACCAAAATCGGGAGGTGCCTCCTCCTGGAAAACAACCGAAGCATGAGGAGCTCCTCCGGCGCCTGGGAAGCCAAAACCGGAACTCCCGGACTCCCGGTGACCTTCAATGGGGGGTCTTGGAGTGTGTAGCGGCAGAGTGATCCTTGCCACACGGGGTCCCATCCGCCATCAGAATAGGGCACTTGTGACTGAAGCGGCACTTGGAGTTACGGCATTTGGCGGTGTGAAAGCGGATACACGGGCCTGCCCCGTCCACTTGGCGAGCCCAATTGGACAGGGACACCTTGGGACCAGATTTGCCCGAATTGGTAGGGCCGCGATTGTTGCCTCCTTTCTTCGCAGATTTAGCTGCAGCTTTGCCAGCTGCACGAGGCTTGTTATCCCGATCACCAAGAGGGCTTTTCCTTTTCAGAGATTCTGAGGCTTGCGACTTGACACGTGGAGCCAGAGCAGCATGAAGGTCAGGTCGGATCTGCGTCATCTCCGCAACGGCGTCCGCCAGAGACCAAGAGTGTTCAGCCTGCAGCACGGCAATCCCAGCCCACAGAACCTTATCCGCCTCAATCACCTTTTGCAGCATAGGGCAACGCAAGGATTTGTCCTGAGGCACCTGGGTCGCCAACATGACAAACTTCTCAAGCATCTTCTTCAGCGGCAGAAGATGCATGCCGTCAAGGAGAGCAATAGCCGTGCGCAAAATACCCACAAACTTGCGAAGGGCAGGCTCAACGGGGCCGTTCGTGGGAACATGCGCTTCACAAGAACCAGTCTCCTGAACCGCTAGCAGGGACGCTAGCATGGCCATGTCCGTCCGTGGCCTGCGCTGCTCGACTACAGACACTTCCTGTTCGGACGTCCTGAGTCGCCAAGGGGTCCATGAAAGACACTTGTTGTCCAGGCCTTCCTTCACTCGAAGCAGCAGGGAGACACTTGGTGTAGAATCTGGGCGAAGGAATTCCGAGGGATACTTTGCAGAAAAATCTGCGATCAACTTAGTGACTTCAGCCAAAGTGAACTTGGGCTTGGCTGAACCAAGCAACTGCACAAGAGGTGACGGCCCCGCCGATGGCCCAGCAGCCAGCCTGCAAGACTCTTTGACAACGCGTCTCAGGGCTGCAGCGTCCGGTGTGAGGACAGGATCCTCTGGAGCCGCGCCGGCCGGGCGGCCGAGTATGGAAACGACAAAGGACTCCAATTGGTCCGGCTGTGGCAAAGCATGAGCCACCAAAGACAACGTATCAAACCCTTTGGCTTTCAGAGCGGCCTGCACAGTCGAACCGACACCCCACTGCGTAAGCATCGTCTCAAAGAAAGCCGCATCGTCGACACGGACTGCCGTCGCAAGACAGCTAGGCCTCACTAGCAAAGTACCTGAAGGCAAAGAACTGCCGGACACACCTTTCCGACACCTGCAGCGTGGAGTCATGGCTTCGACATCGCAAGCGAAGATGCAAAACTTTTATAACTCTAGCCGCTGTCAGCGCACAGTGACAGTGCCAAGCAAGGCAGGATATGGACATACATGCCAGGGAATGAAAAACACAGTTCAAGGCTGAATCCCGACTCCATGTGACGGGCCCATGGCCAGAGTCAGGTAAGCCGAACCGTCTTGCAGCCCATACGCCTTCTGTCAGAGCAAGCGTGCATCTGACGGTGGAAAACCAAGGCAAGCAATGAGATACACCTCCTCAGACGGGTCCGCGGGATCCCGGCGGGCTGCATGGACGAGAACTGATTTCCCCAGCCTGACAGCCACCCACAGGCGTGCGGGCAGCGTCAAGGAAAGCGTAGAAACTGTGCACTAAGCAACGTGATGTCGTCAACATGAGAAAACACTCCCGAAATGTCATCACAAGCCATGCGTGACTGCTCTGAACCTGGGATCCTGGCCGCAGCCATGTTTAAGGCACATCCGGAATCCTTTCGGGATTTCTTGGCTTCGCAGCAAAACGCCCTCACGAAGGCAACCACGTACGCCACAACCTGCCCGCAAAGGTTTCTCAGTTGCAGAGCCGTGAAGTGGTTTGTACTGGCAAGCTGGATGAGTGGCAGAGCAAGTCTTTGCCACATGAACCACCTTCGTCACCGGATTGAGAAGAAACCCAAACTCATCCACATCGGAGTCAATGCAGCCAGGGGCAAACACCGATTGAGCTGGAACAGTCTCAGGCACGCCTGAGGCTGCCACTTCCTGAAAATCCAAGGCCTCCAGAGAGCCTTGCGGAGACCCAACACCTAGCTCGAAACCCGCCTCGTCCGGCAACGGCAACGTGTCGCACGGGATCGGGCAGAGAGTCGGAGAATTGCCGCCACTCTGCGTCGTCGCCACCTCATCCCATGCAGCGCCCACGGTATTGGTCGATGGCAGCAGCGGAGGTGGAACATCCTTGGCCGCCTCGGGTTCAGAATCACTAGATGAATCCGGCTCCACAGAGGGCTCCGGCCTAACAGCCACTGCCGGTATTTCAGTTGCCTCATCATCCAGCGCAGGCAGCAGAGAAATTTCCACATCGGGGACAGAAGGACGGGCGCCGCGAAAAATCGGCCTCAGTGGCCTGAATCCTGCCAAGACCGCGCTGATGATCTGTTTCTGTGCCTGAAGAGGGCCAGCCACATCGTCACGCCCATACAGTTCAGAGATGGCAGCCAATGGATCGAAGCAAGGTCGGTGATGAGCAGGTCGAGGCACAGACTTCCCTGCAGCTGTTGCCACTGGCTCGGAAGACCGAAGTGGCCGGTAAGCAGGGTTCACTTAACCAGCATTCCAACGCGACGGTCTCGGAACTGCCATGGCAAAGGGTGCAAAGTTATCCCGGAACCGCACCCAAATCCCAGGAAAACCAGAGACCGAAGGACAAACCAACCAGAACCGAACCGAAGAAAACCAGACACCCAAGCAACCTCAATCCTAGATCAAGCGGAAGTGAACAAAATGCAGAACACGGAAGGGAAAACACTCCCCAGAGCAAAAATCCCCGCTCAACTCACAAAATTGCCTGTCTGCAGCAAGCAAACGCAAACCCCAATTTGTTGCACAGGATTGGCAGTATTCGGTTCGAGTTCAGAGATGACAATGCAGCTCTGTTGTGACAAAATCGAAGCCCTGAGGGAATGGGCCTTCTGATCAAAAAAGACGGAACCCAGACAGGGAGACTGGGTCTTGCGCAAGGAGTGTTGTGTGCCCAGCGCAGAAGACGGCAGAGGCGCCAGCCCTTGCTGAGAAGATTCGCAACACGCAGGCCGGCAAGCCACTACCCCCTAGGGACACAAGGGTGCAGGCCGTAGCAAACCAGCACAAGGCAACCCAACACCCCAACATTAGAACCGCCCCAGGAATTAACCAGAGGGATGCACCACACGTGCGTCAGCCTGCTCCGGGGAAACCTGTGCAGCATGAGCCTCCAGTGCACAGATGCGCTGAGCGTGACAGAAGCAATGTATCTCCAGCTGACGCACACGGTCTTCCACGGATTGCACCACGGGCTGGTCTGATGAGCAGTGGAAGGGGCAGAACCTGATGGCACCAAACGCGCCTCAATCGCCTCGAGCCTAAAGAAATTTGACAGCTCTCACGAGCCAGCTGATGACTTCTGACATAGCAATGCATGAAGTCAGAAAATCAGCAAGTCAAAATTTGTTCAAATCAGAAATAAAGAAATGCATGCATATGCAAAAACACGGAAGGGAAAACCTCCCGTGCCTTCCGGGTCGGTAGCCCCCAAACAGCTGCGTTAGAAAACACAAACCGCTACCTGCACGGGCAAAGCTGTTTGCCGGATCTCGCGGTCCAACAGGATAGCTTCCCTCAGCTCAGTGACATACGCATCGTCAACCAACTGGCGAGCACCTCGCACTCATGCACCCGGCCTTTCCCCATCTTGGGGGCATCCAGCAAAGGAAGCGAAGGCAGGTACTTCTCTGCTCGGTTTCCACCACCACCGCCGCTCGGCGGAGGGGCAGTGGATGGACCGGGGGATGCCGGGGGTCCAGCATGTGGACTTCCAGTTGGACTTCCTGACGCTGTTGCGGCACCAAACGGGTTCGCCACAGACGCATGAGCATCTTCCAACTGCTTTCTTCTCCTTTCTTCTTCGTCCATGCGGCGATTCATCGCCCTCATCATTTCTTGTTGTGTTTGCAACATTTGCACAAGCATCTGCTGCAAAGTAGGGTCCAACCCTACACTTACTGGGGGGGCAACGGGCGTTGCCTGAGCATATGTTCCGCCTTGCATGGGCTGTGAGGCAGCTCCACCAGCCTGAGCTGGGTTCGGAGCTTGCTGTGGTTCAACACCCGGTTGAGCCTGGCCACCTTGCCCAAAGAGCAAGTTCTCTTCTTCCGGGTCCAAGGGAACCGGAACTTCTTCTGCACTGGCCATGGCACACGAGGAGCTCACATACGCTCCGCTACCATGTCAAAACACAGCAAAGCGCACAGCGGTCTTCTTTTTACTCACAGCCTTGAGCCAAAGTCAGGTCGGCCGGAGGACGACTTCAAAGTCACAGTTCTTCTGTGTCTCCAAAGCACAGCAAAACACACTCGCTGTGAAACTGCAAAAAGTACACAACTCAAACGGTGCACTTCCTAAGTTCTCCTACCAACTCAGGGTTCTCCAAACCCTTCAAACGGAGTGTCAAAACGCCAAAGCTCTTCTTCAAACACTTCAAAGCAAAGGCAAAACGACGAAGGAGTTTCTCAGGTTCGCTTCCCATTAAAGCAAGGAAAAACTACAGCTTCTCACACAAACTCTACTCCATCCTACACAACTCCTACCAAGCGAGCGTCAACAAAAGCATGCATACAACTGCAGGACAACCTAAAAGACATGGCTTTTCACACTCAGGGCGTTTGAGTACGGCTACCTCACCGAGTTCGTTCAGAAGCCGAACACCTATGTGAGGACCAACCATTGGGTGACGAGGAAAGGATACCGCAGTCCGCTTAGAAGATCTTTCCGGCGGCATCTCGTCGCTTCTCGACTCCATCATGTCGCAAGTCGGAAATAAGTTCCGTCCTTTCAGCCAAGTGGGTTTCCCGCGGCCGAAACAGAATGATCCACGAAAGGTACGGCCGAAGGAGACGGATGCCAAATTTGCTGAGAAGCTCAACACCCACAATGCTTTCCTTTTGGAACAGGATGTGTGGATGAGCTCAGCTACGTCCGGGATGACTTCGCCTGTTTGGTGTCGATCCTTAGCAAGACCTACGACAAGGCATTTTCAGCTACATAATGAAGAATGTCGACAATCGGGATCTCCGCCGGAAGTATGCCGTCGCCACAGCAGAGGGACAACATCTGGGACTGCAGCCTCTACGAACCCTTCAATGGGCCCCTGGTGCTCTCCAAGCTTTCGAAGGAGCGACAGGGAACAGGATGACAGGAAATTTCAGGAATTAAAAGAATCTGGAAAGTTTGGGATTCTTATTCTCTTGTATGAAAACGCATGAATATATTTGCTTGAATATTATCCCTTGAGACATTCATTCATTGCTCTTTTCCTTGAGTCGCAGTGGGGCAGATCACACAACGTCTGACACGCTCCCCGGGTGGGCGGGTGGGAAAAAGTTTTTCCCCGGCTTGACCTGGAAAAACTCACATCCACAAGCATGCTGCAAACATATTCATGCTGATTTTTCACTCACATGAAAAATCTTCATACATCAAGAATAAAGCAAACATCCTTTTTCAAAGGAGTATTAGCTTATTCTCTTGTATGAAAACGCATGAATATATTTGCTTGAATATTATCCCTTGAGACATTCATTCATTGCTCTTTTCCTTGAATCGCAGTGGGGCAGATCACACAACGTCTGACACGCTCCCCAAGTCTTTGAGGATACGTTGAGTGATACCCTCCCAATCGACTTGCATCCTCGAGCAGCCGGCGGCAAGCAACTGATGCACCTCGCCTCTGCTCGGGGCATCTTTTTTTCATTCAAACGCGTTCACTGAGTCAGTGATTCTGCGGGCGCAACATATCACTGTGGATACGGCCATCAGGCGCGCCGGACATCATGCCCAACCCTGTCCCTAAACCGCTCTCTCATCAGCGGAGCTGCATATTACAGCTAGACAGGCGGTGCTCGGGGCATCTTTTTTCATTCAAACGCGTTCACTGAGTCAGTGATTCTGCGGGCGCAACATATCACTGTGGATACGGCCATTAGGCGCGCCGGACATCATGCCCAACCCTGTCCCTAAACCGCTCTCTCATCAGCGGAGCTGCATATTACAGCTAGACAGGTGGTCAAGCCTACATGCCATGTACAAGGTTCACGAGCTGTGCAGCCAGCAACTGGGCAGGCTTAAAGAAGAGGAGACCCTAGTGCTGGCTCACTGTGAAGGCAAGCAGACTGTGCACTGCGCAAGTCTCTACCATGGGCCGACCAACGGTGCCTCGAGCCCTGGAGGTCCGTAGTGTAGCAGAAAGCTGCAGCAAAACGGCTTTCTCGCACTTACTCACCATGAGTTGCAGCATAACCAACCACACCAACGTAGAACGCTGCTGCAGAAAGGCTTTCTCGCACTTACTCACCAAGAGCAACAGCGCCCATAGACACGCAGAGGAACCACAGCAATGAGTACTGGTTGTAGGAGCACAGCAATCGCGTGCTACAACAAACAAGAAGTGCTCAGCAGCAAGGAAGAAGGGGTCCTCACGCATAACCGAGACCATTGCCACCACGTAACATACTGCAGAGGAGCCAGAAGAGCATGTTCAACTTCTCTGAAAATGGGTGCCCACGCAAGCCAATAAACGGCCAGACCGTCAAAGGTAGCTGCAGCAGGCTTTCTCGCGCTTACTCACCACAAAGCCACAGCACTTTCACCCGTTCGCAGAGAAACTGCCCTGTTGTGACAGGCGAATCCTCGTCACCAACTCACTGGCCTGCTCTGTCAGACCAAAATATGCTGCAGCAGCATCACGGCTTTCTCGCTCTGACTCACCATGAGCCACAGCACTGCCAGGGGATGACTTGACGCAGCGTCTTCAAAATTGCAAACGATAGTGCAGGGGCCGAGAGGTCAGCACCCATCCCATCCAAACCAATGCGTAGACCGGCACGATGTCCGGCGCCATGCGCCCCCCGCCATCTTCCCACCCGAGGGAAGCCGTGCGCTGTCAGCACGATGTAAAGGTCACTCCTCCGTGGGGGGCCCGGAGGAAACCCTCATGCCAGCCATCTGAGTGTCCTGCTGTAGTGTACTCGGAGTAGATGGCTCCCGGACTTGGGACCGGGACGAGCTCAAACAATGTATAGGAGTAGTCATCGCTCCAAACTGCGCGGCCTCGCATGCCCATGAAAAGGTTTTTCGGCGCCCCAAAGGGGGCCGAGATGTAGCAGCAGCATACCCATCCACGAATCCCTGCTTGCAGCGAACCACCAAATAAAACCTCAACGAAAAACCGCCTCCAGTGGTAGAACCGTAGTAGGAGCATGAATGGTGCAAGGGCTCTCCACTGCCAGTGGGATACTACAGGTGCTCGCCACATCGCGTAGCTCGCCTCATTTTCCCCAAAAGCAGCAGGCCGGCAAACCCACGCAACATGTGGGCGCAGGAGCGAACAAACCATTGCATATGTCGCCACATATTCAATGAACCATATCATGCTGCTCCAATGGAAGAGCACCAAGAGACAAAACATCAATAACCTGGGATAATTCTGCCAGCAAGAAAACGTGCCACAATGACGGCAGGCTCGAAGGCGATGGTAGAAGAAAACTGCAACTTCCTCCTGTCTCCACCAGCCACCTGCAAGACCGTTGCTCAGCGTTGCTTCGCATGACATGCGCGAAAGATCAAGCTCACCTGGAGCCATGAAGCCCATGCAGGAGTGACCATCATAGCAGTTGACTTTCTTTCGTGGGCCGCGAATCGGCCACCCACAGAAAACTGAAGTGCGTAAGTCTGCAAAGCCTGCGAACACAGAATGCTGTCCAGGCATGCTTCTCGGCAAAGGTCCATACAAGAGTTCACGTAAAACCATGTCCATGAGAAAGCAGGCATGAAACCATGGCGAGAATAAAACAACTACCCCTACCCTAGGCTTGAGCAGCTCGTGGCACTTGCTCGGGGCATCTGCAATGTTGGATGCAGTAGGAACTCGAGCATACCAAGCTTTCAGCAGGGCACTATTCTCCATCTCCACTATGTGACGAACAAGGACCTGCGCAGCATCTTTCCCTCCTGTCGCAGCTATAATGGCATGACGAGCGCCGTCATTATCCAAATAGCTGACCACCTGGGAGTGCAGGAGCCACTCCTCCCAAACAAGGAAACTGATGAGGACGGGAAGAAGCTCAAGCTCAAAAATTGGGTTCTGTGAGTACGATGAGAAAACTGACATCAAGCCATCCGGGACGGTTTCACTGAAGAATGAAACCGGCGCACCATGAAGACCCACCAACACACCACCCACAGAACCAACCTTAGGCGAGCCTTCGCAGGCTCCATCAGTGAATAGCAGGAAAGTGCGATCACATTTGAAGCTCAGCTCAATCGGGAGGGCTGACGCGAGTCTGTCACGCAAACTGTGGAGGGATTCGACGACTCTCCACGGGAGCGAGTGCTCCGTGCTGCCTTCTCTGGCCGCATGGTCAATGCATCTTACTGCAGCACCAGGAGCCCGGCCAAAGCCTCGAAGAAGACCATCCTTCCCCGTAGACGCTCGGATCTCTTGCGGCCCAAGCGACCCTCAGAAAGAATATCGTCAATCTCCGCCTTCAGCTCATCAATCCTCTCAGGTGTGTGGCCCACGACCACCACCCCACGGTGGAAGCTGCTTAAGTCACAACATCTTGAACTTCCTCTGGAACCTACCTGCTTTCACTCCTTCTTTTGCATAGGAGAAGCCAAGAAGGTCGAACAAGGTCTCGACGCTCCAAGAAGTGTTGTCAATAAGCTCATCTCTGCTGACCACCCCAAAGTCGTCAAAATACGCCGACCACAACAGCCGGAGAGCGATCATGCCGATATAGTGAAGATTCACACTAATTCGTAAGAACGCCGCCACCGAGCCCACGGCCCCGAATGGAAGGGCGTTCAAACCCATGATCATGGGCGCTTCATGGCCAGGCCGATTCACAGCTAACCTCACGAGGTCCCTGTCCTTCTTCCTTCTCGCAGATGCCAAACTGCTTATATGCGCTTTTGAGGTCAAACACCCTTCCCATGCAACTGGGTGTGGCTCCAGGGCACATTGAAGTCTAGAGCAGCGAATCGATCGATGGAGTGTACCTGGAAGGATTCTACCAGGCCGACCGTGCAGTTTAACCCCCCGCAAGATGCATCATCTATGACTCTGATTTTCGGACCCTGACGGATTCCGAACCTCATAGCCAGACTCACGTCGTCTCGCAGGGGCCCACAGTCTTCCCAGATCCACTCTCTGCTCAGCTCGTCTTCTGTCTCCTTCCAGGTGGCCCTCTCCATCTCGGGATCTTGCCTCCTCACCATCTTAGCCAGAGTGGCTTCGTTCAAGCCTTTGGCCATCTCTTTCAAAGTGGTGGTGTCGAAATCGGGCACTCGAACTTTAGGTTCGAACATGTTCCCTTGGGGAAGCCAGCCCGAAAGAGGGAAGCCTCTCTTCACATCGTTGACCAAGTCGACGTCAGGGAAACCGAGCTCGTCATTGATCTCCTGCCATAACAAGAGCCGCTTTCCCTTCAAGATCCTTTTGAGATGCTGCGGGAGAGACCTGTGGAGATCACGTTCTTTCGGCTCCTTCGCTCTCTCGATCCATCTCTTCAGCGTCTTCACCCTTTTCGAAGCCAACTCAAAAGGCGACCCCACGAAGTTCTCCTCTATGACGGCGTCGGCAACTTCATCTACCAATCTGGCCAAATCTTTTGGGTGCCCCGCTGCAACAGCTCTTTGCACAAACTTCTTCGGGTCCGAAGGGATGCCTAGCCTAAGAGCTTCAAATGATGATGTGACGCAATCAACGCCTGGCTCCTTCACCAAATGCGGGTGGCTCTCAACAAACTTCTCGGCTTGCTCTGTACCCCCATGAAACACCAGCCGAGAGGTAATCCTGGCGCCCTTGGGAAAACGCAAAAGGAAAGCAGCCTCCTGAAAGTCCCCAAGAGGCACAGCGAACCAGACGGAGGAACCGAACTCGGCAACCAAGGGGCGAGCCTTTGCACCACGCGGCAGAGCCCCAAGGGCAACACGCGCGGCTAAAGGGGGCTGCACCGCCAGGTGATCTCTCAGCACGTTGACCTCATGGAAACCAGTGGCCAAGGCATGTTCACGCAGGAGGGACGCAAGGCGGAAGCAGAGCAAAGCGGGATAGGAGGCCTCATCATGGGATGGGAAATGAAGGCCACGCCGGTTGTGAGGCGTCCAAGGCAAATGCTCATGGGAATTGTCACAAGTGGCTTGAAGCGAGAGCAAGGGCAACCAGGTGGTCCACAAGGAGGTGGCTTTCGGGCGCTTGCCTCCGTGACAGCAATTATGAAAAGATACCCAAACAGCTTCGCTTCGCTGGAGAAGGGGAGCGAAGGCTGAGGTTTCCCAGTACCAACTATTGCTGGGGTTTTCGATGGCGACTGGCACGGAAAGGTCCAGCGCCTCGAGGACGAGGCAAGTGATGTGCTCATAGAGAATATTAGCAACTTCCACTTGGACTTTATCAGAACCCTGAAGGCCATCAACCGCATCTGGGCGAGCGGCATCACGCAAAGGCCGGGGAATCCGGAAGCCGTGTTTCTCAAGAGCAGGTAAGCGCCTTGCTCGCGCTCGGGACGCCGCGCCATACGGCGGCGCCACCCAAAGCAGGAGAATCCTGCGTGCCTCTCGGCGCAGAAGATGCAACAAAGAACGAAGCTGACCCGGCTGCGTGAGATCAAGTGTGAGAATCTTGATTCCAGAGGCTCGCAGCTTGGTTATGTCCACAGGCAAGGAGTGCATGCCTGCTTTCCGGCAGGCCTTGGATAGCACAGCGCTACCCGCGCAGATTTCCAAGATGAGGGCCTCATGCAGCGGCCGTGAGGCAGCAGAAGATCCTGGAGGTTTAGAGGGCTTACCTAGCCGCACAGGGTCCACGGGAACCAACCCTGGGGCAGCACCTAAGAGGGCAGAGGAACCCAGAGCTGCGTCGTGAATGGTCAGCGCAGGCACAAGGGGGGGTTCGGGATTACCTAGCCGCGCAGGGTCCACGGGAACCGACCCTGGGGCAGCACCTAGGGGTTCGGGCGGACCTGGGAGGGAGGAATCCTGGGGCAAGGCAAAGCCGAGGTCTTGCAACAGGAATCTGTCAGCTGGTGACAAGGAAGGGACATCGCGAACACAGTAAGCAGCGACAACAACGCGCCGCCCACGGCTCGGCAAAGCGTAATGCCACTTACGCGCGTCAAAAATGATGGCGTGCTTGCGCCAATCAACAACGCCACCATAGAGCAGTGATTACCAACCCGAAAAGGCTCAGAACCCCGACCCTGCACCCACAACTGACCCTGGCGGAAGTCACTGAGCGCCAAGACAACATTCGGCACACCAGGAAGATTGTTCAGATCCCTATGTGGGAGGTCAGAAGACCCATCGAAGATCATGAAACTGGTGAATGGCAACCCTGGAGCCAGACGACGGATGGCTCGGCAGAAAGCACGCACTGAATTGGGAAAAATATGGGTATTGCGCAGCAATCCCAACTGAGCCCCATGAACAAAGGCACCGGCACCGAAAGCTGTACTAGCACCTCGCTTCGAAGGGGAATGGGGCAACATGTCAAAAAGTTCAACCAAGGCGGCTCGCGAAGAACCGTCGGCAGCGACCCGAACAGCAAGGGCCTCAGCATCATGCGACTCACCAGGAACAGCATGCGGCGGGGCCTGATCGGATCCTAGTGTCAAAACTGAAACAGCTCTTGGCTGACTAGAGCAAGGCAGCTCTGTAGGAGGTGCTGCAGGAAGGGTGCGTCCTTCGGGCGGCTCCTCCAGCTCCCCACCTCTCGCCTCCAGCGAGGGGGGTGGGGCGGTAACGCGTCACTCTCGGTTTTTTGTGCGGCAAACAACAAAACTGTGCCCGGGACGATGACAATGAGCACAGACGTGAAAGCCCTTGATGCATCGGGGAGCCGGCTTACCGGCCTTCGTTTCGAGGCTACAGCCACCCTCAAGATTGAAACTCCAGCAAACAGGACCCTCCTTAATGCGGCACTTGCAACCCTTGAGGCTCTCGGGCAGGCTGGCCGAGGCGCGCTTGCGCTTGCGCTTGCGACCCTTACCCTCACTGGCAGGGTGTGGGCGTGGGGGGGGGAGAGGCGCGCGATTGCTCAGAGGTTTTGACCGGCTTGATTGGCTCCGCACGGGGGGGGCCAAAAGGTGGATGACAACGCGGGGATCACTGACCAACTTCTTCAGGGCAGCTTCCATGACCAACTGATTGTTCCCATCACGCGCAGAGACCGACCCGGTGATCTCGCGACTCATAATGGTCCAGGCTTCACGATCAGCACGAATCACCTGCGCAACCGAGACACGCCCAGTCCCCACCGCGGGCTCCGCATGGAGGTACGCCATGAGCGAATGGACGTAGAACTCATGGCCGGTCCACGACACGAGGGAACACTGGTCCAGGGCCAGACCGCGCCGTTGCAAGCAGTACAAAAGTTGGATGGCCGAGCTCGTGTCTGCATCTGGGATCCTCTGCGAGGCACTCAGCTTCAAAGCACCGGACTCGACTTGCACGAGCGAGGTCTTCTCCTTACCCAAGAGCTGAACTTCAGAGTCTCTCTTTGTGCACTTCGAAGGGGCCAGCCAAGTGATGGAGTTGCTGTCCACGATGAGAGAGCAAGCGTCAATGAGAGCGTAACTTGGCTGCAGCTCGCCCTCAATCAAGACACCAGACAGGCGCCTCTTTTGGTCATCCAGGCGGGCTTGCTTTTCAACATGAGGGAGCTTGCGGCCTGTCACGTCGGCGTCATCAACGGTGGCTTGGGCTTTGAGAAAAGCAACCACCAACGTGGCGCTTTCAAACAGGAGCATCCGGACATTTGCAATCTGTCCAATGCTTGGAGGGTCTTGGCCATAGAGGGTGGCTGCAATTGTAGTCACTTCTGCGTCGCCAGGAGGAGCTGCCTGAAGGTCGTGACGCCCTGGGCAGCTAGAGCCGTGGCCAGCGAATCGTCACCAGCAACCTGCACACAGCGTTGCCGAAGGGAAGCTTCCGAATCAATCAGCGCCATGGCACTCCTAGCGCCAGAGCAAAACCTGCGGAGGAGCGGGCGAGCACGGTGCAACCTCAGGTCATGGTGCCAAAGAGTGCTGAATCCACCATGCACAGGTGCAGGATGCGTGCGCGCGCATCATGGTCTGCCGAAGAGCTGCATCATCACAGGTCGAGGCGCCAAAGACACTGCAGCATCGCGCACTCTCTGGGAATGATACGATCCCAAGAAAACATGGGTCAAGTTTATACAAAACTTAAAGTCGCACCAGGGGGCACGTGTAATCACCTGGGAATGACACGAAGGCGACTCAGCGTCCTGACGGCCAGTCAAGCGACGACCTTGCTTAAAAGGTCAGGTCAGCGTCTGAAGCCCCTTTGAGGCATTGCCGACAAACACTTGTATCATATCGAATCAGACCCGCCGGAATGTAGAAGAATCAGACCCGCCGGAATGTAGAAGAATCAGACCCGCCGGAATGTAGAAGTCACTGACCGCTCGACCGCAAAGCAGGCGCCTCACGTCACCATCTCGAAGAAGATGACACATGCGCGACTTCTTGCGCCTAAGAAACTTAGTCCCGTCAGGCGCTACAGGGACCTGGACCACATTGAGGGGCACTTCTGCATCATTGCTGGAGGTGCTCTCCGTCGACGATTCGCTCCCGTCCTCCCCTGAGGATGAGCTCTCCTGGACCAGTGAGGGATTACCACCAAAGGTTGGAGGATCAACAGGCTCACCGTTGACAAGTGCAGTGTCGAGCTCCGAGCTGTCAAGAGGACGAGGGGAGTCAGCAACTGGATCACCTAGTTCAAGCCAAGGGGGCTCCGGCACAGGTTCTTGAACCTCTTCACGCGGGGGAACTTCTGCAGGATCTGGCTCAGCAAGGGACTGCAAGTCGCCCTCCGTCACCAATTCAGAGGCCAAGGGCCCCATTTCAGGATACCAATCCCTTTCCTCTCTCGTCTGCTCCCACGCCAGATGGTCACTCGTCACAAAGCGTCCCGAGCGAGTTTCGTCCGGCCGAAACTCACCCCTTTGGATGGCAGTCAACATGTCTTGTAGAACTCGAAGCGGTCCTGCAGCGGCTTCTCGGGAATACGTGAAGACTGTCTGATTCTTGCCGACATGGTATCCGAGACAAGCCCTCACGTCAACCGAGGCCCCGAACTTTGACAGCATGCTGAGCAATGTACACTTGCAAGAATGGGAAGAGAGACGCCTGTCATCCACCTTGTCATTCCCAAGCAGGTGCCGAATCCACGCCGAGGCCTCCGCCGAAGACAAGGCACGCACTGTAGGACGTCCATGCTCATCTGGGGCTGGCATGACCGGCCAACCGTCACAAGGCACGAAACCAACTTGCGAGCAAACACCAAGCCAAGCCTCCACCCAGGAATCAGGGCTAACGCCTTGTGCCGGGGCTGTCATAGTGAGGAACTTATGTCGATGTTGCTTGGCCATCATGGTTTTACGCCTTGCGGTTTGAAGGTCGATGAAGACGACTCTCCCCGATGCATCCCGATCCAGAGACAATGCTTCAGCGTACTGCATGTCGGCCCACCTTGAGCGGCTGTAGACCGCCAAGAGCACTGCACCGCAAAAGATTGCATCCCACACGTCCAATGGTCTCAACACGTGTCCCAGCAGCTGTTTTAGGTCCTCTACTGAAAAGGGGGATGCTTGTGTCACCGGCTTCAGGACGCAGTTGATGGTGATGCCTCGACATCTCCTGCTCATCACAAGGGCCTCGCACTCCTGCAGCCCGAGAACGAAGTAGCAGAAGCCAACAGCCTCCTTGATGCCCTGAAGAGCGCTGAGACTCTTACCCTGGTCACGCAAGCGAGACAGAGCATTGTAAAGGTCACGCTCAAGCGGAGGAAAGCGTAGTCCCCAGGGGAAGCGAGGGCAGCATCCAGCAGCTTCAAGGAACCAGCACGCTTGAGCAAAGTCGAAGGAGCCTTGGGTGTCAAGTAGTCACTCAAGACCTGGATGCCGTCGGCGAAGGCAACAAGTATCACCTGCTTCACAATCTCCAAGGCGGGCTCCCATCTGGAGATAACCGCGTACCATCTTTTGAGGGCCTTTTGAAGAAGTGAGTCCATCACCTCACGCCACGTGGCCACCTCCACATTCCTGACACACTTCAGAAACGTGGCCTTGCCACCGTGGCTGGAGCAACGAAGTCTCTCAGACCACACTGAAGGCGGATCGGAAGATTGCCAAGCCATGCGCGGTCTATGCAATGGAAACTTTAAAGGGTCACACTCATCAAAAAGCATGTCCATGGGGTCAGAAGGTCGAGGGGCAACAAGGGAGTTCCAGGCACCCCGAACAATGTCATTGTGCACCTGAAGCGATCTACCATCCCCACTCTGAAACAAAACTGAAGGCGCACCCGTCTGCCCGCTGAGTGTACCCCCGAAGGGAGCACAACCAGCCATGCCGGGCAGAGGTCTGCTGAGAGCCAAGCAGGCGCGAGACGCTCATGTAACTCAACTCACACCAGAGGAACTGGCGGACCGGAGTAACAGCAGCTGTCCATCGCCTAATGGGTCACTCACACCATCCGAGCTAGCGGACAGGACCCCAGCATTTCACGTTCGAAGAACGAAACATGCGCGGTTGTTGAAAAACTAGGACCTGTACAGTACATTTCTGGCTTTAAACAAGGGCACACGCGGCTCACCTGAAGCACAGATCAGCGTGGAGGAGTGTCTGGGACCAAACAGAGCCGCGCGCCAGTCAGAAGAGGATGAAGAAGAGCTTGATCCAGGGAATCCAGGCGAGCTAACTTCGCGGTCACCAAGCAGAGACGCAGCAGCCTCTCAAAATCGGCAGCCAAGAAGCCAGTGAAAGCCTCGACTCTGATGGAGCACATCTCATGCAGCAGCCGGACTACAGTCGCGCGGGAGAGCTCGAGGTCAGTCACGGGCGCAGACCTTGCAGCAAGCGGCTCGGCTGGGCCTACTGAGAGCCCAACATGATTCTCGAGAATATCCACCCTGGCCACCAGCGCGGCCCAAGCCTCTGTCCGGAGGAATGCATGGCAGGAGCCAGGGTCATTGACACCCACAGCTGGAAGGCTGGTAGGCACCGGACCACTACCACGAGGAGAACGACTGCGGCACGCAGCGCGCAAAGCCGACGGGCTCAGAACCGCAGCCGGATCATGCATGGCAGTCGAACGTGAAGCAGTCGTCACATGGGCGTCCCAGCGCCCACCATTGTCGCAGAAGCGATGAACCTGCTGGCCAGCCAGGGCGGGCGCGGAGGGCACTGGTGCAGCGCCGGAGGTAGACCCGGTCGGGCCCGACTCCGGGTAAACGTGTTCCACGCCCTGCAAAATCAACGCAGGCTCATTCTCAAGTCCATCACAATCGGGGGCATCGCTGTCAGTACGAGGGCCTCCAGAATAGTCACTGTCGTTGTCGTGAGCAATCACATGGAGACACAGCTGCAGCGCACAAGCCAACGCAAGCACAGGAAAGGCCATGAGAGCACAGCTACAGCCGCCCCTTGCGAAAAAGTTTTTCCCCGGCTTGACCTGGAAAAACTTGAGCCAAAATGGCTAACTTTTCCCCGGCTTGACCTGGAAAAACTCACATCCACAAGCATGCTGCAAACATATTCATGCTGATTTTTCACTCACATGAAAAATCTTCATACATCAAGAATAAAGCAAACATCCTTTTTCAAAGGAGTATTAGCTTCTTGGCATAACATTAAATCCTAAGAAATGCATTGGGGAAAAGGTAAGAAGAATACCAATAAATATTAAATGTAGATGAAAAAGAGAAAGTGTACTAGAGGATGAAAGTAATAAATTCTTAGTGCCAACAATTTTTTTCTCCATTAAAAATTATTCCAGAGAAGATAGAAATTATAGCTCTTAATTAAAGAAAGACCGAAAGAAAATGTGCCACAACATAATATGCATCAAGTATTCCAAGATCTACTGCATTTCCAAGAATTATTCCTGTAGAATTAATAAAAAGAGATGTGAGAAGAAGACAGAACTAATTCTAAGGTGTAATAATGGTGGATTTCCAAGATATGTAAAGAGCCAATTAAAGATTTGTACCAGTTGGTAAGGATATTAAGATTGTAACTCCTGTAAAATAGGCTCTTGTATCACTTTCTAAACCTACAGAATACATATGATGCCCCCAAACAAGACTTCCAAGAAGAGAAATAGATGACATGGCAAAGATCATTGATTGGTTACCAAAGATTATTAATTGTAAAATCCCAGAAATTCTTATGGAAATGATCACAAATGCAGGAATTATTAAGATGTAAACTTCTGGATGTCCAAAAAACCAAAATAAATGTTGATAGAATATAGGATCTCCTCCAAATATAGGATCAAAGAAAAGTGTATTCGAATGAAGATCACCCAATATTAAAAGAAGTGTACCAGGTAAGATTGGTAATGTTGATAAAAGCATGAAAGCTGTAATCAAGAAAGCCCCAGGAAATAATGGGATAGTCTTTAATGTCAGATAATGAGATCTCAGATTTAGAATTGTTGTCCAAAAGTGAAGAGATGTAAGACATGAAGATATACCAGAGATTATTAATAAGATTTCCTGTACTTGAAGGTGATAAAGTCATAAAAGAAGTGGATAAAGATGGAAAAAATGTTCATCCTGTACCACCTCCGAAAAGAATTAAGATAGAAGAATTATTTACTCTAGGATATACCACTTCTGGAGAGGCTTGAAATATAGGTACAAAATAATTTCCAAATCCTCCAAACAAGCCAGGCATTACTAAAAAAGAAGATTACAAGAAAGCCATGCAACGTGATGCTTATATCATAGAAGTTCTGGTTTTCTTGGAGATATATAATCCTATTTCCTGATGAATTCTTATAAGGACTGATTTTAATGTTTCGGAGATTCCAAAGATGAATCCAGATAATAAATAATAAGCCTTTGTGATTACAATTTTTTCGAAGAAGTCGAAGTTTGCCCGGAGTTCCGTGGAAGAGGCAACTTAGCCTGATGTTCCCATAACAGAACCAGTGGACTTGCAGCCAGAACCATGGACATCCAGGGGGAATGCACCAATCGATCATCGTCTGCTTTCTTCTTTTTCTTCTTTGTTCTTTCAAGCTCTAAAGAAGAACAAGAAGAGAAATAAAGAGAGAAGCAGAAAGAAGAGATCAAAAGGAATGCTGCTTGTTTTCATCTTTCCTCTTTTTCTTCTCTTTCTCTTCTCTTGATTTTCCCTTCAAAATTCAAACAAACCCGTTTTTGCGGAAACAAGAAAAAGAACAGAGGCGATCGGGCAAAGAAGGAATTTGCTAAAGCATAATTACCATCCATGCAAAACAGAAGAAGAAAGGAACAGAGTCTTCAATTTCAAGAGCAGAGAAGAGAGAGAAGAGAGAAGAGACTAAACAAAAAATGGAAAGAGCAAAGAAACGTATGAACAGAGAAGAGGAAGACACAAAACAAGGCGCAGAGAAGATGGCTCTTCTCTTCTAAGAAGGATCTAGAAAGAGCCTTACTTTGTCGTCTCCTTCCTTTCTGTCTCTTCTTTTTCTTGCAGCATTCTTGTTATCTCTCTCTCACTTTTTCCTTCCCTTCTCTTCTTCTGCTTGCTTTTAGCTGACAAAACACAAGAAAGCAACTTGTATAAGAAAGCAGTGGTAGGCAACTTCTTTGGCGTGGACCTTTCCACAACACTTTGTCATATTCCCTTCTGTTCCTTTCACAGATGGGCAACCTTCCAGAAAACCTTTCCCTTATATTTTGCTTTTTTCAAGCAAAAAAGCCGTAAATGTTGTTTCTTGTTTATCGCCTTATATGCTTTGTGCCCGAACCGTCTGCAGCCAGATCTCCTTGGGGTCTTCGCTGTTTCGCAACTTAGTCACCTACCTGTCCCTCCGTGCTGTGCCCTGGTAGATTGGCCGGTGGGCACACCGTTCACTGTATATGCCTACATTTGCAAACTTACAGAACCAGACTTCCAACAATAAGAAGCCAAGAAACATTCGCCACAAGCCGAACATCGATAGACCGCGCAGGTGCCCTTGGCAAAGTTAGCGCCTGCCAAAGAGGTTTGCCCAAGTCCGCATGCAACACTAAAAAATGACTGCACCACGTGCCAGGCTCTGAGCTGTCTAGCTATGTTAAGCCAAAACAGGCTGAAACGGTAAGGGGGAAGGGCTCAAGGGGGGCCTTTAAGGGGTTTAAGGGGCTTAAAGAGGGCTTCAAGGGGGGCTTGAAGGGAACGGGAGAAGATAGAACAAGTGAGTGTGTGGATGGGGTTGCATGGTGGATCATGGTAATAGATCCACTGCGATTCGGCAAGCAAATTTTGGTGCTAAAACTCAAGGCTGGCTGGCAAGCTCTTGTGCCGGAGTGTGCAGCCTTTTTTTCCCCTTCAAGTTGAAGCCGCCGCCGTGCGCAACAAGCCCGAAGGGATAAGGTGCTTATCAAGGTGACTTGCCAATGCCTTTAATTCTGTGCGGAGATCGACCGTTCTTGGCGCAGCTTGCCAGCGGCCGCGTTGCAAACTGCAAGAAGGTGCGCAGCACCCGATTCCCGATCGCCCCACCATTAGCACCATCTGTGCCCTTGCACCACTTGCCGCAGCCCGGTCCAGCGAGCAGAATTGTGGATAAACAGATACAGCAATGTTACCACACAGGAAGGCTTCTCTTTTAGAAGGTATTCTCAAGGTACATCATTTATGTTTGCGTTTTTCCCATCTGGGCCCACCAGGTGGCAACTTGACGGCTCCACTTAAATCGATAATGCAGGGTCTTCACCAGCTTACCGCAACAATGGCATTCAAAGCGTCTTGGATAACTTCACAACAGTGCGTCTGCGGTGTTCATCTTCATCTTTACCTCTCAAAGATCGAAAGGAAGAAGCTGGACCAGTTTACCACAAAGGCCAGGGTGCAGGCAATGGCAAGGACGTTTGTCATGGTTTGACCACTCAAACAAAGGCCTGCTATGGACATTCGGGCCAGGACCGGGCGGTGAGTGGCACCGTTCTTGAAGGGCATTCTGGGCCACCGTTCGGCGGGCCATCCAGTTACTGCAGATTGGTACCTGGAACTATGAGTTCCATCCTACCGATCACAATGAGGGCCGACCGGCAGTGCTGCTCCTGCGATTCTGCTTGGGCGGGCTCTGTGGCCCATGGCTTCATGATTGTCGTTGACCCGGAGGTGGACCCTGTAGGCTTCTTTCTCTAAACAACGACGACCGACCAACTCGGCTGCGCGTCTCCTGTTTGACATGTACACGTTTCTCTGAATGCAGGGAGGCACCAAAACAAGATGCTCATGCTTGTTCGTGCGTGGTCGTCTCCGCTGCTTGGCTGGCTACACGGTCATGGTCTGTAGCGGTTGCCTGTTTTACTGAGTGAATTCATGTGCTTGCCAGCATATCTCCTGCGACATGTCTGCACGCGCGATGGCTTGCTACAGCTCGTGTAGACGGAACGATCAACCACCCCGTAGGCTGCTCCCGCATTTGCGACCATGCCAAACTCGATCGGCTGCTTCTCCATCTGCGCTGGCTTCGACTGCGTCTGTCCTTGGAAGCAGGCACTCCAGTTGGGTCTTGGCGTGGGGTCCGGCCGCAGCTGTCCACTCTGCAGCGCTGAGGCGCTGCGGCGAAGACAGCAGCTCATTCAACTTCATGGCCAGTCAGCAAGCACGCTGCCTGCCACCTTGGCCTCTGCCTACAAGCAACAAGCTTTCAAGTCTCTGAAACAAACAAAATGCACCAACAACCATCCACGTTGAAACTCGTGGCACAGCTACGGGGGCCTAAGGGACCTCAGGTCAAGACTACACTCAACCCTCACAGCACGAAGTGCGGACTCTTTTCACTGCGCTGTTCACAGCTTCTCGAGCTCCGCTCGTCTTGAGCCAATGCGAGCACGGCTCTCCAGCTTCAAACACTGTCTGCCAGACATGGGAAAACAAAGGTACTTCAGGTGAAAACACTCAGCCATGGAACTTCTACTCCTAAACACTGTGGGTAGGTTCCTAGCACCTCTTAGGTGCTCTGCTGAGCTCTGTGCAGACCTAAACTGGCTTGAGTCACTTCTGGTCACCAAATACCAGGTCACAAACAGGAAACGAGTTCCGACAAACGAGTTTCGAGAAAACGAACAGAAAACGGTTCTTCCCACTCAAAACAAGGTCTCACCAAGCCAAAAGAAATCTGCACTGCCTGACATGTCCTCGTGCCTATGCTTCACACTCATAGCAGACAACTCAAGTGCACATCACGTGTCAACTGGGAAACTAGGAGGGTCACATATATCACTCGAAAGCGGGCAACGTCGCTAGCCAATTAGGCTCTTCGGGACCAAAGCCCCGGAAGTTAAGGTGAAACAGTGAGAACAACTACTCTCGGGAATGCCTTGGCCTGCTAAACACGGCCGTGCTTGTGAAGGCATCCGAGATGTTACGGAAAGAGCTACGGGCAGGGAGAACCTCACCATCCCTCAGAGTCTTTAC